GCTAATTTTCAGATCACTTTGCAAAGAATTAAATATTGTGATGTTTGGGTCATTTTAAGAAATATATTAAAATGAAATAGGTGAACTCAAGTAAATACCAACTGAACGAATCAATTGAAAACTGTGAATAATTAAAAAATCTGAGGCTTTGATATAAACTGTCTTATTATATCTCATGAAATATAAATATCCAATTAATTATATATTAGGGGAGCTATGCTTAGACAAAGCAATTCAAAATCACAAATTGTATAATATTAATAAGAACATGTTGTGTATGATCAAAAAATATTTGCAATTCAAAAGCTAATGATATTTCTACTATTATAAACGAAATACAAAATGTTCAATACTTTTTCAAATAGAATTTCTCAAATAAATCCCGAAAGATCCCTGATTCATTTAAAATTCCAGTACCTATGTGTACGTGCTTCGATGATTCAACTATATGTACTGGATATCTAGAAAAATAAAGTTTTTGCGTTAATTTACACTCTAATAAATATACATGTATATAAACGAGTATAACAATATATATATATATATATTATGTATATTATTTTGTAATGTGTGTGTGCATATATTAATGTAAATCAATATACATATATATATATATGTACGAGTAGTTATTAATTTTATCGTTGAAAATTAAGAATAATGTTATCAGTGGTTAAAGTTTATGAAACCATTAGAAATCCATTAGATACCCATGTCATTTTCTTTCTTTTTTTTTTGTTACTTGAATGTCTGGAATACCAAAATCTTAAGAATCTATGTAGGACATGTATGGTATGTGTGTATGTGAAAGTATTTTGTTACATTAAAAGGGAAGAGAAAAATAAAAAATTAAAAACTAAAAGTACTCATCTTTGAATTTATTAAAGATGAAAAGAAGAAAAGAGAAAACTATTTTGGAAGAAAATTTATTTTCATATAAAATTTTCATAGTATGTACAAGGATTTAAAAGAATAACAAAGATGACAACGGGTTTGGCATAGGTTAAATACGGCTCTTTTATAATTTCCGTCCATGTTTATTAAAATTTCCTTTAAATTTGTTTCTAATTTGTAATAGCAAGTTTTAGTTGCCTTTTTTATATTAATATAAATGAGTGTGTGCTTTATTTATTAGCTTTTCTTATTTCTCCATTCTTATTTCAAGCACATTTCGAATAAAATTAGAAAATTCAGTATTCATCGATAGAGGTGGTTTTTTCCCTTTCCCTTTTCATTTTCAGGTCTTTCAAACTTGTTAATGCTAAATGTAATAGGTCATTTGACTGAAAAATCATTTTTCTTTTCTCGAACCTCTTCTTAAATGACTGAGATGGTCATAACACATCTATTAAGCTTCTCAAAATTTCATTTTCCTTGCAGGCTGCAGATCTTGGTGAATTTTTAATTTTTAATTTTCTTTTTCGATATGAATAAATATTTTATTTTTTTACAAAATTTTCAAACTCTTTTTTGTTCCTTATTATCCATCCTATTTCAAAGTAAATAAAATGTCAATTTTTGGACAATTAAATTTTTGATAATAATAAATTCTATGAAAGTGGAAAAGTAACTAAAAATTTATTCTTGGATTTTAATTTAACTACGAGGTATTCTTTAGAATACCCCTAAATATATGCAATTTTTTTTTAAATATTAAATAGGGTATTTGATTTCTTTTATGTTGTTACTGGTTAGTATTAGTTTTGCTTTCAATCATGAAATAGAATGACGTTATTTTATAAATTAGTTTGTTTGATCTACTTGACTTTATCGATAAAGAGGATGTTTAGAGGCACATACAATTTATTAGAACGCATATAACGCCAACAAGAAAACATTTGTGGCACGACAAAATTTATTCTCCGGTAAAATTAAATTCTTAGTATCAAAATTAAATTCTAAGAATTATAGATAAGTCCATCCGCCCGTCAGTTTGTTCGACCGTCTATTTTTGAAGCTCTGATTTTAGAATGCAAAAAGTTCGAGACTTAAAATTTGCACAGATGCGCAACTGCATACAAATTGATATTGAATATCAGCAAAGTTGTCCCACTAAAACTCGTACTTTCCCCATAATTTTCGGGTAGGAGCTTAAAAAAAATTCACTGAATGTGGCCGAATATGTGAAAAAAAGTCTTAAAATTTTGCAACTATAAAATGCAACCAATTTTGTCATAATAAACTAATTTCAAAGTATAATTTCTAATAGCCTAAACCGCTTGCCAAGTGTACAAGTTTTGAAATTTTGCTTTAAAATAATTTAACCTAAAAGAGCTGGGCCTGGCCTGTATTCAATTTTATCAATGATTAAAAATAAATTGCTTGCTTTATTTTGTTTATAAAAGAAGCTACCATAAATTTTTCAGTAATCTTCGGAAATAATCAAAAATATAAAAAATCTCAAATGAATTGAAGTCATATTTTTTTTCACAATTTTTGAAAAGATTATTTTACAAATTAATATTTTATATAAAATAATTCATACATATATATATATATATACAGGCGCGGTTTTGATGTATTCGTCGCCCTAAGCGGTTCCTAAAAAGTGCGCCCCCCCCCCCCCCCCCTTCAACCTTTTCACCTATTTTATTACTGCGAACAAAATTTAATAGGCATTGCACATTGTGCATCATAAAGCAGTTTCTTGTAACCTTATTGTGCTGAATTATAGAATTAAAGTCTGGAACTAAACTTTCAATTTTTTGTTTTATAAATTCAAAAACAAGGTAATTTATTTAAGTGTACGTTTTTTTATGAAGTTATGATCAGATTTATATCAATCACTTAAACTTGATTTTTTGATTTTAACAACCAAAAAATTTACTTTTTGACGTAAGTGAAACTTATTGTAAAAGGTTCTATGAAAATTATATCAAATGTACTTTTTCACAGCTTATTTGAATATGAAAAAAAGTAAAAAATTATTTTTATTTTTATTCGTAATTTTATTTTTATTTTTATAATTATTTTTATTTTTATTAGTAAAATTTGGCTTTTTATTTCACAAATCGCCTGAGAAATGAAGCAGCGTATAAAAAAAGTTTCGACTTGCATTCAAAAATTTAAGGAAAATCAAAGTTTCGTTCTAAAATTTGTGACTTAAAAACTTAGCTTTTCATGTACATAGCTATAAGCTTTTATACTGTTCATTATATTTTTTAGATTTTATTAAAATAAATGCATTTACTGGTATTTATAGGCTCGTGGTTTTGAAATTTCAGAATGTCGTTTTGCTTAACTGTTTTAATTTTGGAGATAAATGTGTGAAGCAAATTATGCGCCATTTCATTTTACTCTTATTTTTTGGATGACTTACACTACATCAATTCAGCATAAAAATTCTTAACATTCACTTGATTATTAAACAACATTTTTTCAATTCAATATAAGTAGTAGATTTTATCAATTAAAATTTAATTCTGTGATTGATAACAGTTTTTTCAAAAACGAAAGCAGAACATATTAGTAGAAATTCATAACGATCATGTAATTTTAAAATTCATTCAAAATTTTTTGTTGTTAAACAAAAACAAAATATTGGTATACACAATCTCAATATCAAGCTATGCTTTCCATCATTTAAGAATATTGCTCTCATTCTCTTTTTCTAATTTCTTTCTATTCTCATTCTTAATTTGTGTTTTTTTTGTTTTGTTCTTGTTGTTTACTAATGCAATAGTATACAGAAAAGTAATACATTATAATAATGTGTTTGTTTGTTTGGTGAGTGAGCGCCAACTAAGCAAAAATAAAATTTTGCATGTATGAAACAATTTAAATATAATGTGTACGAACGAGTGTAGCCACTAAGCATAATAAAAACATTGCTTTGTGATATAATTATATGTGTACGAGCGAGTGTTGATAGGGAGCAATCTCAGCAAAATAAAAATTTTGCTTTATGAGATAATTATATGTGTACGCATGAGTGTTGATCTTATTCATATTAGACAATATAAATTATGTGTACATGTGTATTTTTGAATATTTTTATTTTTTGCGTACATTGCTTCTATATATGTATGTATATTATATGAGACGATTTCACTTATATATATGAACGTTTGAATGTATACAGCTGTGTGAAATAATATTCTGTGTTTATAGGCATATACAGTACATAAAAAATAAGAATGAAAGAGCAGTGTAGAGTAAAGAAATGTATGAGTAATTTTAATTCTATGAACATTTTTTGTTATATGGTGCAAATAGAAAATATGTGTAGGAACAAAATATTATGTTTGCATGTAGGTAGATTTTATTAAGTTAATTTCGCTATAAATTGATGTATAAAAAAAAACTTGGAATCCTTTTTTTTGGGTGAAAATTTTTTTTTTTTAAATTTAGGGGTTTTTTAAGTTTTCAATGGCGCCCCTATTTTTTATCGCCCATTGCAAATGCATACTTTGCATGTATGATAAATCCGGGGCTGTATATATATATATATATATATAAGATATGAATTTGTATAATTGTTTATAGGCGTCTTTACTGTAAAATGATTTATATATAAAAGATATTTTTAATGAAAAGGATAATAATAATAGAACTAGATGACAGGATAATAATGAGAATAAATTCATTTTGTGCCCTTTTGTTTTTGCTTTTTCATTGTTTTTTCTTGTGGGTTAAGTAAATATTTTTTTTACATTTAAAAATTTTTATAAACTCTTTTGGGTCAAACTTCAAGTCAAACAAGCCTATAATATCCTAAACAAACTAAATAAATATAATTTTGTAAATTTTTGTCGTGTGTTATATGCATAAAATATTTGTATGTATATATGTATAGTATAACATAATTGTTGCTATTTTAGAAAAATGAAATTAGAAGCGTTTATGAGCGTAAATAAGTGAAAAGGTTTAAAGTATATTTAAAATTTTTGACTCCATTTCATGTGTTTACCTAAATTAGAACATCAATCCTTTTAATTTATGCATGGTCATTCAAGTGCTTATATTGAACTAAAAACTATTATTATTTTGTTATCTTTTGCTAGGTTAGAGATTCCCAACGTTTACCGGATCCTGAAAACAATAAGGTACCCCTTCAGCTATTAAGTATTGTGTTTTTCTATGTAAATTGTGATACGTACGTATAGTAGACTCCCTATTTTTAACATTACAATGTATTTTAGTTGATTAAAATTTGCTTTTATAATTGTGCTTTGATTTTATGTTGCCATATAAAAGAGAGAAATGTAAAATTGACTTGATATTTGTTGAATTAGGCTTAAATTTGGATACTATTTCAAATAAATTATTAGAAGAAATTGATAATTGGCATTCCTTAAGTTTTTTTTGATTTTTCGCTACACTTTTAGCAAAAATTTTGGCATTATTATCTAATCTTTTTGATCAACAGTAATATCAAATGTGAGAAGTGATTTAAGTAATTGTGTTGCAATTTTAGTAATTTTGGAATGGGAAAACGAAGAACTGGATAATTTTAATTTATGATCAGAAAGATTAAAATTTTGAACAAATAAACTTTAATTTCTATATATGCGTGCTACATGTCTGGCATTAATTTCATTTTGTAAATATTCTGAAACTTTTAAATTATAAACATTTTATAACACAAAAGTAAAATAAACTTAAAAAATGCTTTGCAATAAACTAAAATTAAGTAAAATTTAGTATGTGTAATTTTATACCCAACAAAATACATTGACATAATTTTCTTTACGGTAATTTTCCACAAAATATCGAAAACCAAAATGTATTTTTAATTGAATAAAATGTAAAATTTTTTATTATTTTTTATGGCTTTTACATTTCATGTGGGCGTTGAAAAAAATGTCCTTGGCTTGGCAGCCTATAAAGGTAACCTTGTTTCTTATAAGAAAAGAAAATTTTGTTTCCGTTTTTTTTTTTTTTATTGTAAAAAAAGGAAAAAAGAAAGATATTTGAATTATTGTCGAGCTAAGCTACATTTTTTGTTTTTTTTTTCTTCATAAAATGTAGATATCTAGTTTAGGTGCGAGGAGCATCGTTACTTCTATATATGCAAGGTAAGCAATTTGCAATGAGCGCCAGATTACAAGGTCGCCATTGAAAAAAGTGATTCATTATGCGCAATATGCAATTTGTATTGCATATTGCTCATTGATTGAAAAGAAAAGGAGCGGCGACATTTTTGAAAACCGCTAAAGGTGTCGAAATAATCAGAACTGGGCCTAGCTGCGAGCAATTCTTAAAGGTGTAAATTATGTAAAGTATTTCATTTGGATTTGCATAATTTTGTTTTTATAAAAAAAACAACATCACTCATAAATCTATTGAAATGACATAAAAACATAGTTGTTGGGACTACCTGTAATAATCTAAATATTTTGTACAAATTTTAGGCATTGTACTACGTTTTTATTTAAATTTCATTAACCGTTGGAAATTTATGTGAATGGTGTAGTTTCCACGAAACTTAAATGTTTCTTTTTATAATTTATTATACGTATAACAATTATATTAACGCGTTATACTTCCCCACAATTATTTTAAAGCTGAGAAGAGGACAAAAAATAAGGAAATTGTATAAAAATTTTAGTAAAATGTTCGATTTCCCAAAAACAATTCAAAATTTTTCGAAATTTCAAAAATTTTGATTAAGTTTTGAATTTTTTCCTTGAATTAGAAAATTTTACGCATAGTAGGTGATTATTATTTTCTTCTCTAATTTAATGCTTGTTGGGTAAGAAACAAAACGAATGTGCACAGAAACTGATTTCTTTGTATGATTTAAAGGCTTTCCTTGTATTTTTTTTATACATTTTTATTTTTGAAAGGATTCAGTAGTTTTTTTTTTTATTTATTTATTTTTTTCTTTCGTTTCCTTTCGATTTTATCATTTTTATTTTGTTCTACTGTCGTTCCTTATTTATTTACACCCTTTCTATTTTATGAAATTCATAATAATTTGTAGCCTATATACACAAAAACATATACAAACTTACAGTTTTTTGTCTACAATAAAAAAAAACAGTACATGTTATGAATGCTTACAATCCTTTTTCAATGAAAAAGAAGAGAAGAATAAAAAAATCCAATTTTAATATAAAATGAAAATGATTTTGAATTTTTTTTTTTTCTTTTTACTTTTCATAAATAAAACACCTTTATTTTTATTCATAAAAATAAAATGAGCACAAAATATTAGAATATTGTAAAAGTCATCATCACCTATAAACATAGAATCTGAACAGCCACCTAAGATTTCAAAGTGTTGGTGAACTGTGCAGCCATCTGGGAAAAACAAAAAAAAAATGAAGAAGAGAAAAATTAAAATAAAGAGAAAAAGATATTGAAAAGGAGAAAAAAATAAAAGGAGTTTTTGTTCATTCAGAGAAAAAAAAAATTATCAAATGCTTTTGAATGGTTTTCAATTTTGAAAAAAAAAAAAAACAGAAGAAAAAGGAAAAGGATTGGGGTTTCTTATATTTTTTCTTCTTAAAATGAAAAATATCTTAAATTAAGCGGAAATTTGTGGGTTTATAATATAGAATAAGGAATAAAAATTCGTTTTTGTTGGAATATAATTGTATTTGTATTTAAAAATTCGTTTTTTTTTATTATTATTAAATATTAATAAAAGGACTTGCTTTTCTTTATAAAGAAGAAACAATTTTGAAGTAATTCAATATGACAAAGTATTTAAAGGACCAAAGTTTTTTCTCTTTCTTGTTTTCTTCTTTTTTTTGCTAATAAAGAAAAAATTTTGATTATAAACGATATTTAATAGATTATTTTAGGATCTATTATTGAAAAGCGTAAACTACCACAACTACCAGAATAATTTTCAAAAGAAAGGTGTCGTTTTAGGCCATTTAAAATGTGAATGTGTATAGAAAATATTACGCAAGATAAATTTCGAAAAATTATTCTTTTTCAATATTTAAAACCTTTAAGGAAATTTTAAAATTTTTATACAATTGCTGGGAAAATATTTTTTTGCAAAAATTTTAAAAATAACAAGGGAGTAATTTTATATAGAGGCCAATGTTGCTTAATTTCAACCAGGGTTGAAAGAATTCGGAAAACAGAGTAAAACTGGGATCAAAAATGAATTTCTGTAAAAATTTTTGTAAAATCGCACTACATTATCGTAGGCTATTAAGTTTAAGCTGTTATTTAAGCCTAAATAATCCAAAAAATCATAAAATCAAAAAATGATTTAAGCAATTTTACATATTTTAACCTTTGCATGTATTGTATAAGGTGCAGATTACAATGTTCCTATTGTCAAAATTTAATACGAGTATTGTACAAACAACTTAGCAAAAGTTCATTCATTGTGCATAATGAGCGTTAGTACTTATATTTCATTCTGACATTTAGTACTTCTTTTGAAATTACCATAATATAAAAAAAAATGACGGAATAATTAATCATAGCAATTACATTGTATTTTGTGATCATCTTTTATTTTTAAGATAAAAGATAATTTCTTTTTCTTTAAATAAATTCTTTTTATTTATTCAAATATCAGAGGATGATGAAGAGCTTCCTATTCAGATTATTAAAATAAAAAAAATAATTAGACTTATTTTTAAATGTTCAAGTGTAGAATATTAAGGGAAGTGATGTGTTCTTTTCAAAGTTATTTAATGTATATATATACTACCTACTATAATATAATAGAAGGTTCTTATACATTTCCACTTATATAATTCTTAAAATATTATGTAAGAAGAAAATCTTCTATAGAATAAGTGAATATTTTATTAATTTATAAGTATAATACTTGTTACTTTCAATAGTTTGCTCATTTTCATTGAAAATCAATAATATCCAAAAATTATCTTTTATACCCTAATCAATGGTTGGTCACTCACGCAGTTTTTATTGTTATAAGTATTAATTTATTAATTATTAAGGTTCCGTAAAAAAAAAAGAAACAAAAACAATTATTTTTTTTCCTTGTGTCTTAATGATTGTTTGTATTTTGAAAATGTTAAAGATTTTATTAAAGAAATTGTTATTCTTACTTTTTAATACAAATACCATTGAGCATATTCAGTAGTTTAAAATTGATTGCGTAGGTATTAGAAATGTGAAATCACTGTATAAAATTTTTATATTTTTGACCTTTTATTTCAATTTTCTTAATTAAAATTTTTGAAAAAAAGGAAAAAATATATGGTTGATCGTGTCATCTATGTGATACCCATACGAATGAATGATTTTATAAATGTTTTTCTTATGTTTTTCACCTTTTCTTTTCCTATAATGTGATTTTTTATACATTTCTGGCAGCTACTACATATGTATATGCATATAACGATATGAGCTTCTATAATTTGTAAGATATAGTCAAATAAATTTTGAAGTTGCATGGCAATTGCTTTAACTAAGAGCAGTGCCATTATATTTAATTTTCGCACTAATGGATGGACAGATGGGTAGATATGGGTAAATCGACTAAGAATTGGATGAGGACAACATATGCATACTTTTGTCTATATATATATGTCAGATTTTTATTTCTTAACATTATAAACGTAGAACAAATTTATAATATCTTTCGAATACATAACCGTACGATGAGAATAAAAACAACATGGTTCTTAAATTTAGAAGGTGTCTCAAAATAACCGCCATATTCATATTATATTTTTCAAAATCTTAAACAAAAAATTCAGTTTTCGAAATTTATGTAGCACTATATATATGTCGAAAGCACTGCTTTGGGTGCTTGTTATATAAAAGCCAATGTTTCAGTGTTTTATTTGACCTTTTAATGACTTTCACCATATACAATAGTTACATACAGCTTAATAGTTCATCATATACAAAAACTATATAACATTTGATTTTTGAAGATCCCTTTCATATTTTTAATGAATATATCGTCAAAGTTGGTAAAATAAAGCTTTCTAAACGTATAAATAAGGAACGAGCCATTCTAGTGTCAGAAAAACCAATTATCTCGCGACGATGTGACACCTTTCCTATGTAAATTCTTAAAAACATACATAATTTGGTTGTTTTTCATTATCAAATTTTCTGTAAGCATTTTTGACGCTTCATATACGTATGTACGAGT